CAGGCCAAGCGGGCTGCAGCCCAGGCAGTTGCTGAGGCAAAAACTCGGGTCTGGGAAGAGTTCGGTGAGGCCATGGAGAGGGACTATCAGTCGGCCTCGAAGAAATTCTGGCAAACCATCCGGCGCCTCAGGAGGGGGAAGCAGTGCCCTGCCAAAACTGTTTACAGTGGAGGTGGGCAGCTGTTGACCTCAACTGGGGACATCGTCAGATGGCGGAAGGAATACTTCAAGGATCTCCTCAACCCCAGCGTCACGTCTTCCAATGAGGAAGCAGAGGCCGGGGGCTCGGAGGTGGACTCATCCATCACCCAAGCTGAAGTCAGTGAGGTAGTTGAGAAGCTTCTCGGTGGCAAGGCACCGGGGGCAGATGAGATTCACCCTGACTACCTTAAGTCTCTGAATTTTGTGGGGCTGTCTTGGTTGACATGCCTCTGCAACATTGCGTGGCAGTTGGGGACAGTGCCTCTGGATTGGCAAACTGGGGTGGTGGTCCTTTTCAAGAAGGGGGACCGGAGGGTGTGCTCCAACTACAGGGGGATCACAAAATAGATGGATGGATGGATGGATGATAAAACACAACACCGAAAGTGTGTTTTAGTGCATTACAGTGCATATACTGTATATGTATAGTATAACTGATATGTTGTTTTTACAAAAGTTTAATTTACTTTGGTCTTCCATGTTTCAAGGCAAGTAAAATTAAATGTACTAATGCGATACTTCCTGAAATAATATACCCCCTTGTTCTGTGTTCTGAAGTCATGCTTCGTATACCCCTTTGCTCTGTGTAGGTATGGGCAGTGCTTAATTTGTAAATGATGAGGTTTGGGAAGCCAAGACCAAGACAAGGCAAAGACCAGAGTGTATCAAGACCAAGACTTGAAGGGGGCGAGACCGCATTGAGACCAAGACCAGAGAAGGCCAAGACCAAGTCAAGACCAGACCAGCGAAACTCTGACTGCACAACCCGCTTTTGATAAAATGTGGAACATGCAAACCATACAGTAGGTACTCCTAAAAAGAATCTGAAATATCAATGTTCCCATAAAACATCTACAGAAAACAAATGATTATTCTTATTTCCCCTATATTATGGACATACACACACTGTATATACAGTCTTATGCAAAAGTTTAGGCACCCCTTGATAAATAACAGATTTTGGTGATTTTTTATTTGAACAGATGTTAACACAGTTTCTCTTGGAAATGGAAAAAATGCACAATATTTTCTGCAAACAGTGATGCATAGTTACTTCTTATGCCATAAATTGAACAAAAATAAAAAATAAAAACATTATTATGGCATGGTGCAAAAGTTTGGGCACCCTAAGAGTTCCAGAGTCTCAAAGTCTCTCACAAGGTATCAGACCTTAATCAGCTCGTTAGATCTGATGCACAGCAACAGCTGTCATTGGTAAATGCCAATTTCAAAGCTGTACAAATACTTTGACTCTTCAAACCTTGTGCACACACTTGTGGACACCCAGCAACCATGGGTTCCTCTAAG